AGGGCTTGCATTGTGACTTTGCCTGCCTGATGTTCAAGCACCTGGTGCACAAGCCATCGGAGCAGAGAGTGAAGGAGATTGTCATCAATGCCGTCAGGATCGAGCAGGTGGGTGAGCTGGCCGGGTCCCTCAAGCTGGCCAGAGGGTGCGCTTCATGCTTCTGCTGCCTCAGAGCTACGTTCTCTCCCTAGGAGTTCCTCACGGAGGCCTTGCCAGTGAAGCTCATCGGGATGAATTGCAGTTTGATGAAACAGTACATCGAGTTTGTGGCTGACAGGCTCATGCTGGAATTAGGCTTCAGCAAGGTAAAGCACCAACCTGACCTTGGAAGCTGGTGTTGCCTATTTGTGTTTTTTTTTTTTTTTTTTTTTGGAGACAAGGTCTTGCTATGCCATTCAGGATAGCCTTGTGGCTTGCAGTGTCCTCTTGCCTCAGCTCCCTTATTATTATTGTTATTTTTTTTGTATTTAGGTTTTCCGAGTGGAAAATCCATTTGACTTCATGGAGAATATTTCTCTGGAAGGGAAGACAAACTTCTTTGAGAAGAGAGTGGGCGAGTATCAGAGGATGGGAGTTATGTCCAGCCCCACAGAGAATTCTTTTACTTTGGATGCTGACTTCTAAATGAACTGGAAAAGTGTTCTTATTTTGCTGATTTTTTTCCACTCTTTCCCATTTAAAAAAAGAATCAGCTAATCAACTAGCTACACCCTGTATTGGGTGTTCATTAATGGCCCGGGCAAGACTGTAGCTACCTCAGATCAGTCCTGTTCATTGATGATCCCAGTGGTGTGTTACCCAGGAAAGGACTTCTGAGCCCAGCCAGCACCTGGGTTCTTTGGAAGATCAAGAGCACGTCCTGCTTTGCAAGCAATGCCATAGCACTACAACTGGGGACCCACCGGCTGATGGCAGGACCCGGGCAGTTAAGGGTGTCAGCCTCACTGCTTCCAAGCAGGCTAAAGTTCCCTAGCGGTAAATGAAACCAGCACTTTACCTGCAAATCACAAGTGCCCCATCAAAGGGAAAGGCTGACATAATTGGTTTCCACATCAAATGCAGAATGTTGTTCCCTATTCCTGTGAATGGGAGCTAAGGTGACCAGCAAGGTAGCAGTGTGTT